GCGGTTTAGCAAGCAATGCAGACCTCAAGCTTAAGCCTTGGCCATGGAGAGCCCTGCAGCGTAAACGGAGGGAAATCCTTGCAGGATATACAGGGGATAGAGCTCCAAAGTCATGGGGGTCCCTGTGCCCATACAGTTTGTACTTGGACACTCAATGTATTCAGAAGCCCTACAAGGCTTAGGCATGTACTATACAGCTACCCGGAACCTTAGGAAGAGAACGCTTGCTGGTAGTCGCCAGGCTGTATCGGATCCGTTCGCTTTGCAGAGTTGTCGTCAAGCCCAATGTGGACCCCTCCCTGACATGATGAGCAAGCCCTTTCTGTGTAAGTAGAGCATAATCCATCTAAGTATCCCTCGTAAGGAGCTTCCTGAAGCAAAGTTCAATCATGTTGAGAAAGTCTACATAAACCTCCAACTCCACGGGCCACCAGTCTTCTAGTGTTCTTGAGGAGCCCCACACGCTCCAAACCCCGAAGCGCCCTACCTTCGCCTTTGAGAAGCTGCCTTTACCAATGTCTTGTTCTCACGGCTGGAGCCAAAATCGTAGCCGCAGGCTTCTCTAGTACCCTGCAGACCCTACCCACAAACGCAGGTGAGCCGAGAACTGCAGGACATGCAAACTCGGGTCTCAGACATGAGCTTCCACAGAAAAGTGTGAGTCCAAACACTGCTGGATAAGATCCTGGTTCTTGTGTTCCTGTTTCTTTCGTAGGTTCTTTTTGTTGCCGAAATCCGCTTGGGCTGAAAAAGACCAGTCCGAGTTGGTGAACCTAAACCCTGAAAGGAAACTTGGACAAGACGACACCAAGAGCAGAGACACACGTGTCCCCATGAGTTGAGATAGATTTACGAAAATCTGCACGGGGCAGGTGTCACACCCGACTCTGCCACCCCTGTGGAGCACGGCTCGTGGAACGCACGTTCTCACAAGGCTTTGGGCCATGGGGCCGTGGATTCAAGTCTTACTGGGACTTGCTTTCGGACATAGGGCATCAACAGGAGGAAGCCATATATCGGCCTTCATAGTACCACCCGGGTCTTAAACCCTAAACCCGGGTTTGGGAGAACCCTGCTTTTCGAGTTAGGGGCTGTTTGATCCCAAACCGAGTTGCGCCCTATCTACAGCCTTGCAAGTCCTTTTTTGAAAGGAAATGGGAATGATCGATTCTTTGGACTTGGGACCTGAGCCTGGGTTTTTCGGGGCTGGTGCAGCACATGTGTTCGGGAAGTGTTGCTACTCTTTTGCGTATATCTTTGCTGTTATGACTGTTGTTGTTGCTATGATTGCCTTTTCGTGTTGTTGGCAGTACGAGTGGCATGATGGTGATGATTATCATTCCTGTCAGCACCGCTACTCTTATAAATTGCTATGCATGCTGTTGCTTACGTTACTTGTGGTGTCGCTGCTCTTGTTGTGATTGTGGCTGTGGTTTGTCGGTGTCGTTGGCATCCTTGTTCTTGTTGCTGTGGTGGCTGATACCCTTGCTGGTAGTGGTGGTGCTGTTGCTTGTTGTCGTTGTTGTTCTTGTTGGTGCTGCTGCTGACACATGAACCTTCTGCCTTTCGGCATGTCCACGCGATGTAGACTCTGATGTGGACGTTTCCGCGCATTCCGCTTTGTGTTTGTTTTTGTGCGTGCGTGTCTCTGTAGATTGCTCGCTCACTCTCTCTCTCTCTCTCTCTCTCTCTGTGTCTTTCTTATGCTCACCGCTTGTGTATGTCCCTGTGTCTGCCAGGACTACAGCAAGCCGCCGTCCACTGTGTACGGAAACCAGCCACTGGAAGCTGCAGCAAGTATGCAGGGTTCAAAAAAGCCACTTGTCGGAATGGCTTGCTGTATCCAGATTCGGCATTTACGAAGCTCCTGCCCACCCTAGACGGAAGGCTACAATCCGGGTAAGTCCGGACACCTTGGAGTATCTCTAAACCCTGACCCTTAAAGGCCAACAACAAACTCCCGAAGGAAGGCACCCTCAAAACAAGGTCTTCCTCCAGTTTGGGATCCTGAGGTTAAGAAGCCGAAGATAGATACTATGGCTACAATGTTTACATTTGTGTTATAATGAAACCCTAATAACGATTAAAAATGAGTATTCTCAATATGGCCCAAAAAGAACCAGTAGCAGGCCCAAAAAGCTGTTCTAGTGATTGAGGCACCTATGTTTATCTTAAGCCATGAACTCCAACAGTTGATCACAGAGGCATGCGCCCGCCGAGGGCAGGCAGCGCATGTTCAACTCGAGGCACGGCCTAAGCACTAAATCCTACATAGGCCCCGGGTTGTCGCACCTTCAGACGGTGCTATACAGAGTTTTGCGAGGGTTTCTCTGGTGCTTCTACAAGGGTGGTGGACTTGAGGTTTGGGGTTTAGGGACAGCTTGCTTATCTTACAGTTGTAATACAAGCTGACGAAGAGGAAACAAGGTATTACAAGTCAGGATCAGGCACCTTTGAGCTCATAATCTTGTTCACTTCGCGGCCGTTCCCTTGGGACGAAACCAGGTTGTAGTAGTCATTATAATGCCGCAACCCGAAGCCCAGCCCCAAACCCTATAAACCTCATCGGTTCAGGCATCCAATATTTCCACTTCAGGGTGCTGTGGGACGTGCCCAGATTGCTTAAGGGATTGGCGCCACAGGGCTCTTCTTTGGGCTATAAGCAATTTAGGTCCATATGGGGGTTTCCGAAAATAGGGACCCTAGTCTTGTACCGTAAATAGTAGGATCCTTATTTTCAGGACCCCAAACTAACGTACCCCTTATTCTCGCAAACTCCCATACAATTTATGGGTCTAAACGTGACGAAGGCTGTAGCCTGCTTTTCTGGGTCATGGATTGGGGGGGTGCTACACGGTGTCAGCGGGGCCTTTAGGTTGAAGGCTCAACTCGAGGATCTCACTCGGCATGCCTTGTTTACATCACAACCGTCCCACGTTCGGGCTGCGGAAACCCCATCTTCTAAACAAGTTCTTAAAGCCCTCATAGTGAAGAGTTCGAGAAATCATGAGCAATATCCCCATGTGGTGTTCGTCATGCAAGTAAACTATACTCTACCCCAAGCCCCTGGTCTTACTATTTGTGGTGGTGGTGGTAGTAGTAGTAGTAGTCGTCGTCGTCGTCGTCGCAGTAGCAGCTGTAGCAGTAGCAGTAGCAGTGGTAGTAGTGGTGGTAGTGGAAGTAGTGGTGGTAGTTCCTCTCGCTATTACGCCCTTTTGGTGACAGATGCCCCATAGAGGAACAGCCGCATACCTGGACCGGACTGTGGTCAGCCCACCGTTCCGGTGCGAAAGGCAGCGAGCAAGCGCTTCTTGCAGGGATCGGAGGGCAGCTCTCTAGGGTTTAGGATGTCAATCCTGCATTAGCTATAAAGGACCCTATACTATGGGAATTACGGGTCTATTCCTTTTTTATGAGGTAACGCAGGATTTGTGGCATCAACCGTAGGGTTTAGGATGTAGGGTTTGAAAGTTTGTTGGGTTTGGGGCTTAGTTAGGTTGCAGTTTAGAGTTCAGGGTTCAAGCTTTCATAGCTTTGCTTCAGTTTTCTTCAGGGGTGGATCCTTCGCTGTCAGGGGTTCGAAGTTCGCACTCCGCGGATCCCTGAGGGCTTCTTCGGATCAAGAACAGGGATCCCAGGAGGGAAGTTCCACGTTGCTCACTTTTCTGGGTTCGTGTCAAGGGACTTGATTTAAGTTACATGATGATAAAGAAGTCAGATTATTTACTGTAGATCCCTATTATGCTAACTTGAATTAAGTTCCTTAACAAGACCCGGGTGTGTTCGCGAGGAGTTTCCGGCAGAGTTTAGCCGGAACGCTGCTCAGGTAGAACAAGCTTCAGTTCTGTCTTGGCTCTCAGGCGCTTCCCCAAAAACCTCGACCCAAAGCCCTAAACCCCAAAAAGCCTCGAACCCTAAACCCTAAACCCAAAAGCCTCAACATGGCGAATCCCGAAGCTCCGCTTTTCCTTGCAAAAGGCTCAGGGACCGAGGCGCTGCAAGGACCCAACCCCAAGCTCTAGAGGGTAGTTCTCTAAACTAGGGTCCCCTTTTAGGTCCCCATAAAAAATACGGCACCCTTCTAAAAAGAACCACCAAAAGGGACCCTTATGTGAGAGAACTACCCAGAAGCCTTCGAAAAGAAAGCAACTCTAAAGGTTTGGGGGACCCAGGGAACCCCCTAAACCCTAACCCCTAAACCCCTAAACCCCTAAACCCCTAAACCCCTAAACCCCTAGACCCCTAGACCCCTAGACCCAGAACTGAAGCCTTGGAAGTCTCAAGATGGGAAGATGGGCCTGAGCTGCAAAGCCCTCAAAAGCAGCTTCAAGGTTTGGGGGTTTAGGGGATGTAGAGGTTCAGAGGGTTTAGGGTTTTAGGGTTTTTAGGGTTTAGGGTTTTAGGGTTTAGGGGTTTAGAGGTTTAGGGGTTTAGAGGTTTAGGGGACAAGACTTCGAGTTTCGGGCTTTGGCGCTTGGGATTCATCAGGGCTCCAAGAGTGTAAAGGGATTTTGTTGCTTAGGGGAGGAGGGCTTTGAGGGCTGAGGATTTGAAGGATCTTTTGCGAGTTTTCGGCTTTCAGGGGTTCGAGGCTCCGGGCTTTGGAGCCTGCAGGATGCCAGAACCAAGATTTTTTGGAGGATATGAACTGAATCCAGCTCTGGCTCGAGAGACCCTGGGCCATGCCTCAAAGTCTGCTCCCAGCGTGCCGAAACAAGGAGCCCTACCCGCCTAAGCCTTTTGTATCACTGCTATAAAATCCTAAGTTCAACATTCTGGACTCTGAAATTGAATGTATGAGATGCTGGCCCTTGGCCGGGCAACCGAGACTCAGTGATGGGTGATGATCGCTTATCGCGAACTCCCGAAGCATACTGGGAGTCTGGAAAAATGAGGGACTTCGATTATTTTAAATCCAACATAGTAGTGGACCCCTTATATTAAGAAACCTCCACACACGCACACAGACACACACCTCACATGGATTGCCAGTCCTTGCAATGGAAGCTGCGGGGCAGCCAGCAGGGCAGAACCCACGCCTGCTACTAGTTCTTCTTCTCCCTTGCCTGGGTCTACACGGTGGATGCTCGGCGCGTGCAGAAATTGGGAGCCCCAAACCCCGCACTGATTAGAACGCCTCCAATCGGCGAGAAGACATCAAAGCAGCTATGTAGGCAAGAAGCCTAAGCCTCGAATAAGAGTCCTAAGCATAGACACTAAACCTAAACCCTTCATCAGAAGCCTTTAAGACTTTAAGCCGGATTCAACAGCCTCGTGCAAGGACTCCTCTTCCGAAATCAGCCTGGGTTCCTCTGGTCCTCCCTGGCCGATGAGATGTGGAACCTCACGCCCCGGAACCGCTCCGTTTGGCAACCCGGGTTGAAAGCAGAAATTCGGAATCATTTTGAGTTCACCGCGCAAAATGGGAGTTCCAGGACACGGTGGATAATGTACACTGCACATAGCAGCATACCTGATTTTCGAGGACAGCACGTATCAGCGCCGTTTAAAAACAGGCTTCGTCGACAGTGCAAAACTCAAACTGCGGAAGCTCAGCATGTCCTATTGTTCAAACCATGAAGCTTCGCGTCGATTGGGTAAGCTCAAGGAGAGTTGCGACTCTTTCTGGATTCGGGTAGCAACCGGTTGCTGTGAGGCAAGACTCATGTGGTTGTTTCGACGTGGTAGGTCTGAGATATGCGAGGTATGGCGATACAAGACCACCAGTGCAGCCCCTCCGTGTTGCAAGCGTGATCGCTGGCCAGCTGCGTGGTATGACCGACAGAACGAATGTTGCGCGAGTCAACTGGCTGACAAAAGAATCCGACGTATTCATATGCACCGACAGGCTTTACCAGGAAGAGATTGGAAGCCTGACGGGGGTCGTTGGGACTCGATTCATAGAAGAAGATCCCAGCTGGAAGGAAAAGGTCAATTTGACGAAGGAACTCCAGTGGTGGCGGTTACAGCAATGCTGGGACATGATCCAGGACTTTGAAGCTGAGCACGGCTTCAGCTATGCTTTCTACATGAAAATCCGAACGGATTGTTATAAAAGGGGCGGCTGCGAACCTTCTCGGAAGACCTACGATAAGATACGGGAAGACTTTGGCCCACAGCTCGACGACAAGATCTTCGCACGAAGCAACTCAGCTGAGGCCTCAGAATGTAGCATCTGGATCCCATGTGGTTTTGGTTCAAGGATTTATGTGGGGGTTTCCGAAATACAGTAGGGGACCCTAATATAGTACCAGTACCCTAAATAGTAGGAACCCCATTATATGGATCCCAAAATAAGGTACCCCTAATTTTCGGAAACTCTCATGTGGGTTTCTTATGTATGTCTCTAGGAAAGACCTATCCTTGAAAACAGAGGATCCTGAGACCTGCGGGCGCCAAGACTTGGGTCCCAGAATGGTCCTCCAAAGGTTCTCCGCTCTTTTTACCCGTTTAGGGTCTAGGGTCTAGGTAGGGTTTGGGTTTCGGGTTTAGGGTTTAGGGCCTTCTTTTTCTGCCAAAAAGTTAAGGCGACCAAACATTCGGCGGAACGCGAGCCAGCTTCTCCCGTGCCGCTACCCTGTTCTCGCGGATTCCAGACTACTGGCAGAATGTGCGTGTTTTTTGGCCCGTGGATTTCGAGTTGCTTCGTCGTTCGGACGGCTTTGTGAACAAGCACGTGGGCTACGACAGAGAGAGCCGAGCCCCCAAAGCAGTTGGATGGAAAGAGAGGCCTCACTGAACCAGTTTATAGTATTCGGGGCACAGTGTCGCCCCGTGCAGAGCAGAGTGGTGGTCTTACGAAGCTGCATGCGAGCACTATCCCGCAGTGTAGTCGACGGGCGCAGAAGCGAAGAAGGAAGCAAAAGAGAGACAGAGAGGGAGTGTGAGAGGCCTCACTCTACAACGTTCATGAACACTCGCCCTGCACAACTGCAACAAGATGAGGCCCCCAAGCCAAGGCAATCCTAGACCCGCGGCCCCAAGCCAAAAGCCTCTGGCCCTCATCCCAGGTATGTCTGGATTCCATTTCCACGTGCTGTTGTCCGCCGATGGAAAGTCCTGAGATGCTGTGAGCCAGGGCTCCTTCGGAATTCTCCTGAACCTCGTCCTTAAGTCTAGGGCGTGAAGTTGTAAGGTTCGGTGGTTGTATTTGGATTCTAGAATTCTCTGACTTTGGGATTTAGTTTTGGGGTGTAGGGTTTAGAGTCTAGGATTCAGCGTTTAGGGCTTCGGCCGCCATTGTTGGTTCGTCGATTGCTTTCACGACGGCCTCCACGATCGCTGTTGCTTCTCAGAGTTGAGGGTCGAAATAATCGAACACTCTCCCCAAGTCAGACGACCTACCTTGATGCACCGGCATCTACTCTCTTGTACCGTCCTCAAGCCTTGATATAAGAAACAGAGCCTCCCTACCAACAGCAGCAAGTCGGATATGGTCCATCAGGTCCATCAGGGTTTGTTGAAAGTTAAGCTCCAAAAAATACCTAACTCCTAAACCCGAGACGCTGCACTTTCCATCGCAAGGAGCTGGCGAAGGAGTTGAATGAGTGGGTCCGGGACAACTGCCAGCGGCCGTTTCTAAGCCCTTTTCTTAGTCTGTTTTGTTGTAACCCGCTTTCGGCAGGCTCTTCAAACTAACCCAACCTTACGGTTCCTAAAGATGCAGACCTGACACCCGAAACCGAGTGGAGGGAGGACAAGCAAGAGACGATTCTGCAGTCTCTACCAGACCCCTCTACGCGCTGGTGAACCTGCCCGTTTTTGCAGAGCCAAGCCCAGGTCTCAGTGCAAAGACATCGAGATTCAAAGCCGCCTGCCACTGCCGCACACCGAGCTCCTGCTCGAAGAGAAGCTCTATAGGGTCTAGGAAAGTCCCGTTCAGGGTTTAGCTTCCAGTCACTTTAAGAGAACCTGTAGGGTTCTTATAATGCTCAAAACAAGGATCGTCCCCAGTGGCATCCCGAAGTCATATCCGGAAACCCGAATGCTCAGGCCCAATACCCCCATTGTCGATCCCTTGACTTCAGTTAGCGATTTGCTGTCACCCAGTAGCGCTCTGAAAGATCACGTTTGAGAACCACATGAGGACTTTGCTTCGGAGCAAGCATTCCTCCTGGACTTTTTGCGAGTCGGCATTGAGGTTCATGGATTCCGACGAAACGAGCAGCATAAGCACGTCTTGGTCTCCAAAGTGAGAGCTTCGTTTCAAGAGCGTGAGACGCCAAACCCTAAGCAAACTCAGCACCCTCGACCCGACACCCCAAAACCTCCGCCGTAAACCTTATGCAATTGCAGAGCTGCCAATATCCCCAGCCCCTCTGCGGTCACACGGTGCTATGCGAGTCGGATGGATCAATGTCAAGGGTTATTCAGCGCAAAGTTGCTGACGTGGCAAAAGGCCCTTGCAAAATCGCAACCTCTTCGAGCTTCCGCCGTTGCACAGAGAGCCTCCAAGAAGCGTGGCAGGTTTCAAGGTGTTGGGCTTTAATGTTTAGGGTTTGAGTCGAAGTACTAGGATCAATTGAACAGGGGAGACCCTCAAGACAAGCTGCTAGCCTCGAATCGCTACACCCCAAGCCCTGCGAAAGATGCTCTGCACATTCCTCGCCCATTGATCTAGTCACCTAGTCTTTATGGCCCGTGGTCCAACTTTCTGACTTCTACCCTAAAGGTCAGTGCCTACTCCCGAATTCGGGTTTGTGAGTGTGCGATTTAGGGGTTGTGCTGTTGGCACCATTTCACGTCAGGCATAATCTGGAAGATGAATTCCTTCCAAGCTCAAACTGCCCAAACGCCCCCTTCGAAAAGACCAAAGACGAACACAGTGCCGCAAGCCTTTCCTCTATATTGCCGTAGACACAAAGCCTTCAACATTCTGGTGGCTTGCGTTTTCGGTATATCAAGCAGAGGTATCGAGGCTTCGAGACTTGCGGTGTTGCCGAGGTTTTGTTGTTTCTCCAGGGCATTCCTGTTTGGGAGTTGGTATTAGCTTTTCCCCATTTTCCAGCCCTGCGAATCTGCTTAAGACAAGCTCGTTGTAGTGTGTTGGCAAAACTGCTCCACTAGTCCTAAAGACTCGTACATATTTCGGAGTGAGGCATACCATACTCGGAATTGCTAGCACGGTTTGTGTAAGTATCCAGAAAAGTGTTCAGCATGCTTGAGGGTTTGTTTTGGCTGAGTTCGCTAAGCAAGACAGAGCAAGTTCGACACCGGACAATTGACTGACCTGACAACCCTAAATTCCCAATCCGATGCCCTGAATAAAAAAATCCTAAGCAATGAACACCATCTCCTGAACCAACTCCCGGACGCTCAAAAGCACAAAGCTCAAGAAAGACCTGAAACCCTATCCTCCGTCGCAACCCCCAAGCTTTAGATTCTAAGCCGGGCTCGAAAACCAAAGCCCGAAACCCCCAGCTCACTCAAAGGGTGAGCTTACCGGCTGCCTGCTTCTACGTAGATTCCTGAGCTCAGACTTTAGCAGACCGAAGAAGGCCCTCAAAACAAAAAGACCCCTCGACCCTTCTCTCACCAGGCCGGGCCCCTGGATTGCGCGCCCCTTCCGGGGGCAGCCCCGGTGCCTGCGCCGAATGCAAAGACTTCCGCTCTGGCGCCTTGGAGTGGTTTTGGGGTTTAGGGGTTTAGGGCTTGGGGTCTGGTAGAGCCGAGTTTCATGGTGGGCTTTTTCTAGATTTTAGAAGGGTGCTGATAGGGTCTTGGTCCAGTTTGAACCGGGTTTAATTGGGCTTGACTGGCATTGAATAGAGCTTGAATGGGGCTTACAGGTAGACTTGGAATACCGACAGTTATGCTGGGTTCCTCAATACAAACACACTGTACCCCAAAACCTTGTTATAGAGCCCTAAACGCTAAACCCTACACTCTAAACCCTGTTCTAATTAAGTTACATCTTTAGAGTTGGGAGGTCCCCGTTGTGGCCCCTGCGGTTTATAGAGGGTTCGGCTGTTGGATTTTCGGCTTTAGGGCTGCATTCCTGTAACGACGCGATGTCCTTTTGCAGCCAAATTCGCATGAGACTGCCGTATTGCTTTAGGGTTTGGGGTTTACGGGCTCTTGGAGTTGTTGCTTGACAATTTGGTTAAACAGATTCCTACATCTTGCACCCCTGCCGATCTACATCACACGTGTAGTTGGCACTCACGGTGTCCAAAAGACACCTCAATTAGACGCTTTTCTTTGAAACACGAAGATCCTGAAGCATTAGCAGCGAGTCATAAGGAGGTGGCCCTAAATCCTCAGAGCTGTAGATGCATGCGGACCTAAGGGTCCGAGGCCGCGGACTTTCATCTCCGAATTACAAAGCCCCGACTTCCCTAAAGCTTCGCGGGAGGCGATGGGAGCCCATGGGCACGGACCCAAGAAGGAGGACCGAAGTTGGGGTCCCTGGATTGGGAAGCTTTGAAGCTTCCAAGATTTGTTTTGGCTACTCAAGGGGTTTTGCATTTTGGCATTTGAACTTGGGGGATGTTCTTGCTGCTCGCGTTTCAAGGTTTGGAACGTGACCTAATCGTCACACAGTTGTTGAATTCTCGATGTCAAGCTTTTGGCCGAGAAGTGGAGATGTGGTGAAAGTGTGAGTTAAAAATTAAGTAGTGCGAAAAGGTACGTGCCCGAATAACCACTGGATTATTTGTTGGCGAAGATTTTCTTCAAGTGATACTTTAAGAAAAAAACAGTATACAGCTTAAGATTCCAAGCCACAAAGACCTCGACCTCGAACTCTGACCCAAGGGATCAGTCCTATGCAGCTTCTAGAGAACATTAGACAGCCTGACAAGCCCGCTGTGCACTCTAAGCTCGAGGGTGCTGTGAGGTTTGGACTTGCTGGATGCGGGGTTAAGGCTTATGTACTGGTGTTTGGTGCTGCGCGGTTTTGAAGGAACTGGACTTGGCGCCTAGGTCCTTTGAAGCCCAAACCCTGATGCTTCGCGTATTGGGATAAGGGTGCGTTGCCGAACTAATTATTGTCCCAGATGATCGGATAGGAGTCACTTTTAGAACCTACATGTTAGGGCACAATAGCTCCGATATAAAGTGAGGGCTCCGGTTCAAACTACTTTCGCTGGTGTGATTGTAGGCGGGATCATGCATCTAGGGTATGGCCACCTAAGCCTTCAATCTTTCAGTATCAGCATCAGATATGGATGGGCATTCAGAGGTGCAGGTACGCCTTCAGCTAACATGTACCCGAAGCCAAATCCCTTAAGGGCCCGTCTGGCTTGCGAACGAAGCTCCCAGGACTAGGTCTGGGAATAATTGAGACGATGTCGAAACATAAAAGGTCTTAGTTCTAAACCCACAACCAAAACTCTAAAGTAAACCCGCAAAAGGTATTTGAGTCGCCGCTGTGTAGACCCCCGCAAGCTGTGCTCGCGACGTGCAGCTCCAGGAGGAGCATCATGGGCATGGGCGGTCTGACATGTACGGCGCCATGGCTTCAGACCTTCCTATTCTAATACCCAGTTTGGGCTCCCTTCGGACTCTCCGGTTGAGGCTTTATGCTATTGCATCGCAGGGTATTCGCAGTGTTTTGCGCATCATTGCAAAGACAGCTCCGTTCTCAGCCAGCGACATGTACCTTCACGCTTCTGGCTTGGTTGGATCAGTCCCGAACCCAAGAATAGTATATTCCAGAATAATTACGAAAAGTGCTCCTTAGGGACTCTAATAACTCTTGGCATTAAGGCCCCCATATTGAGCCCCATGAGACCTAAATGCCATAAACCTTTCTTTGGATGCAGATACGGTGTACCTGTCTCGACCTTCTCACCCGCGGGCTGCAGCAGTGGAAGACACGCCCAAGGACAGAAGCACATCGAATTGAGTTCGGCTTTCGGGTCCTCTTCGTCGAGGTTAGGGTTTACTACAGGTGTGTTTTTGTTGGGGAGTTGAGGTTTTTGGGGTTGTAGGTTTAGGAATTCGTGAAAGGGCAGGTCTCAGCCTGAGCTCAAAGCCTTGTCACGGTTTCGGGTTTTAGCCATTGCAACTGTTGAGCTCCTTGAGCTCAAGGATTCGCAGGAGGGCGCTTGCAACTGCAAACTCCGAAGCCCGGATGCGAGTGAAGTCACGAGGTCCAGCAAGTATGCAAACCTGCATGGCATGGGGTTATATCACGTTTTGAAGTTTATCGGTCCGCCATATCTCTCCCTCTTACACCCTAGACCCATTTCTTTTCAGGAGATGTGGGTGCAGCGGCCCACCGTAACTGGCTGGACCAAAGTCGGAGTCCCGAGCCAGGTGCCAGTTTTGGGCTTGGGACACAGAGTCACAGGGCAGAGGCCCGACAGTAAGTATGTTCAGCGTTTTAATGTATGGGTTCCGATTATAGCAATCTGGTTAGCCCAATAAGCTACGCACTTTTTTTTGGCCAAGCTTTGGACATCCCGGGAGCACGAAGCCTGCAAGGCTGAGGTTGACGGGGTTGGTCTTGCTCAGCTTTTCGAGTGGAGCCCCTGACCTGAAACCTCAGCCTCATTGAAGCTGCCATGCAAGATCGTTTTAAGGGAAGGATGGTGTCTTAGCGAACCTTGTCTTAAGGCAAGTTCCATGGCCTTTCGTAAGCTTCAGGCTCTGGGCCCCGGTTGCCAGGTCAGGTTAAATGCCGGGGTGCGGGAATGAATGCCTTACGGTTTAGGGCTTGTGGCTTGTTTTAAGATTGAGTTGTTGTGTTGCGCAAGCTTCGGGACCCCAAAGCCGCCAAGGTTTCAGTGGGCTGCAAATCTAAAGCCGGAAGTTAAGAGCCCTTAAGCCATGTGAAAGCCCTGGTCCAGACACAAGCATTCCCAACAAGTCAGAAGCTCACGACTTACCACCGCGACTCGGAAGCAATTGCTGGCTCCAGGGTTTGGGCTTATGCTTGCAGGGATTTCCGGAATAGAAACTGGGTACCAAGGGCTTAGTAGGATTACGCTATCGTTTAGGGCTCGCGCGGATTTGTTTTGGCTTCAGAATTTCAAGGATTGGCGGCAAGCTTCAGGTGCTTAGGTTTACCGTCGCACTACAGGCGCGGTGCTAGGCCAGAGATCTTGTCCTGTGCCTAGGATGTTGAAGAACTCATCAGTTTCACTGGGGCGATTTGGTGTTGCTGCTTCTTAAGCTTGAACATCTTGTTTGAGAACTGGGGCCGCTGTTGTTTTTTCTGAAACTCCCTTCCTTCTCCTGGTTGAGGATTTGGGAAGGGTCTGTGACTTTCGGCACCTCCATCTAGGACCCTTAAGGTTGACAGCCTCGCCGCCCGCCCAGATTGCGTTCTGATTCACTTCTGTTCTCGATGAACTCCAGGGTCTCTGGCACTTGAGGCAAATGGAGGGCGATTCCCAGAAACGCTAAACCGCAGTCCCTGGCGCCTCAGCGCCCAAGACCTTCCTTGTAGTTTTCTTCAACCCGAAGTCGACCGATCATGACTTGGCAGCTTAAGCTTCCTGCGTTGTCTCTAGCCAAATATCGGGCCTGATAGAGAAGTAGCGCCATTCCCTGGTCCCCTGCCTATTTTCAGTGTGAATAGCCCAGAATCACACTCTGCCTGCCCAGACCCGTATTTTGCAGAGTACATGTGATCTTAGCTCAGGAACCTCTCTGGAGCCCAACCCATCGGCCCCGCCGACGCGCGGCGAAAGGCGGCTGAGGTCAGAGACGGCTCCCTGAGGTCGGCGGTTCAGGGTTGAAGGGTTCAGATACTTAGGGTTTTGGTAAGGAGCTTAGGATCTTGAGCTTGGGGTTTGGAGGTTGGGTTGTAACGGTTTTTGGGCTTGAAAGCGGTGTGGACATGCCGTTGAAGGCACCTTATGATTTCGGACACGATTGCAAGTTGGAGAACGGCTTTACTCCTAGAGCCCTGAGAAGCCTGACACTTTGCTGACATTGTAAGTGGGGTTGGTAAGTTCGTCATGGTACTGAGGCCAACAGAGCCTGGAATTAGCAATTCGGGCTAACCTAAACCTAAACCCGAGGCAACGAGGCTGGTATCCAATTTCCTGTCAGCTTCATTCGCCTTTCGTAAACGGAAGTTTGAGAAATAAATCCGCTATAAAGCAAAGCCTGCTGCTCGTTACAAACCCAGAAAGCCCAAGGCTTAAAACTTGTTGCTCTAAAACCCCGAGCCTCAAGAGCCAAATTGAATACTTCTGACGAGGCTTTGGCCACCAGCGGGCACGACAAAGTCGCGACCTGCTGTTTGTTGCAAATATAGGAGGCGCCTGGCACTTCGTTGTTCAAAAGGTGATAGTTCATATTTTAACCTAGTGAAAGATATGGATTCTTCTTGGATTTGAAATATGGAATCCGAGGTTTCTATATTACAGGCTTGGATGGATATGTATATACATATATATATATATACGTATAAAATCATGATTTTTTCGGACAAATTCTTAATATTTGCATATATTGCTACTACTACTTCTACTACTACTACTACTACTACTAGTACAAAAATAAACTATATATATTTTATTATGATGAGATTTGGTAAGACGGTTCTATACATGTAAGAAGATGTTTTGGTTTCGCGTATTTGATTGAATTTTGAAATTTAGATCTGTGATAAAAATATGATACGATTCTTGAATCGATGATTCGAGATTGGAATCTTGACGAGATTTTAATTGGAATTCTTGTATGTAAGTTTATAAGAAAAATTGTGAATAATATTATATTTTTTAGATCTTTTGATTATGATTATTATTATGTTTCGAAAAATCGAAACTCTTTTTTTCTGATTATATTTTTGCATTCGTAAATTTTTTTGGATTGACAAATTCGAATATTTTAGTAAAAGGAATTTTGTTGAATCGAAATAATTTCGATATCTGGTTTAATGAAGCCGGAAAAATTTAGATACGACAAAATATTCGTTTTTATATGAAAAGTTGAATGCGGTATTTCTCGTAGATGAGGTGGTTGTGATATGTGTCTAGTTGAAGGTATTTCTTCGATTATAGGAGTTGGGAGTACGGTTTTGAAATTATATTATCTATATATTTCGTTTGTGCGAATATTGATTTCTTTTTGAAGGCGTTTAATTTTAAACTTATATAATTTATATAATATGATACCAAATTAGAAGATATGTGGCCCGAAAGCATTATTTGTGAAGAGTTTAGTGTTGTATTATCTAAAGAAAGAGTGAACTATAAAAAGTCATAGAGTTAAGTGTATAGTTTGAATATAGAGAATCTAGTGCATAGAGTTATGTTATCTCAGAATGAAGTGTATAGAGTTATTAAGTATAAAGTCCAGGTTTAAAATCTAGGGTTTAGGGTTATTTGAGTCTATGGACTCTATATATATCTCTACTCTATGTTCAGCGTTATTTCACTCTATATTTGTCACTCGCACTCGGCTCTATTTACTATACTTTACATGTACTTGACACAATATTTATCGTGATTCTATATTTATTATCTATTATCATCTATGTACTTCGGGTTTAGGGTTTATTATACCTTATATATATATGACGATATATTTATCGTGACTCTATATTCATCATCTATTATCATCTATATATTTATCATCATTCGGAATACGTCATTTGCCCGCACGTTCAGTCCCTCGACCACACCAATTAGTCTACTTTGTGTTTTTACATTTGACCTGGCCAATCCCTGGGAAGGCTTGCACATGACGCCGAAAATATGTCATTTTACGACGCGTTCAGTCGCTCGACCACGCCAATCCATGGGAAGGGTTGCGCGTGGCGCCGAAAAGTTGGAAAAAGTTGCAATTTTACCTCGCGTTCGTGCGTTCGACCACGCCAATCCCTGGGTAGGGTTGCGCGTCACGCCGAC